TTTAATAAGTTATAAATTTAATAAGTTAGAATTATTTATAATAAGTTATAATTTTAATAAGTTATAATTTTAAAAAATGTAATTTATTTTTAAATATTTTTGAAAATTTAAAAAATGAAAATAGTAAATTTGAAATGAATTTTAAATATATTATAATTATTATAATATGTAATATTATGTTTAGATATTTATTTAAATATGTGGTAATATTATGTTTAGACATTTATTTAATTAAGTCTAAGTTGATGTTTTAGTGAACTATGTTGAGGTATATAAGGACATGTTTCGGGAATGAACGATTTTTGAATGAGATGGATACTTACGATTTGAAAATTTTGAATTGAATAAATTATAACTTGTGTTTTACATACAATTATTAACTATCTTTGTAATGATGACCAATTCCACAACGAGGGCGATGTTTGTTACGTGGTGGATTTCTTCGTTGTAGTTCTTGCTCTTGGAATCCAGGATCAAGTTGCGAAGGATTTGGGTCATTTTGAAGGACCATTTGTTGGAAGCATTTGAGGAACTATCATGTTCATTTGCAAAATAAGGTTGATAAAGAGACTACATGTAACTTTGTGCTGAAGATGGAGTTGTAAAATCAATTCCAAATAAGTTTGTAAAAAAGTCCTCTAAAGTAGTTGCAAACGAATGCCTTCTATTAATTATGTTTGCTTTAGGTGTGATGTTTGGTGGAGGAAATGATCCAGTCTCGTGATATGATCATGTGGAAGACATGTCGATATCAAATGATGTGGTAGTTTGTAGTTGTTGATGGCTCCTTCTTGGATCTTCTAGTAATGGTGACATAGATAAGAAATGGATGGAATTGGCAATGTACCATTCTATGTATTCTCGTGTGTGACATAATGGGCCTTACATTGGATGACCCGTTAATGTCAGCTCACGTCTGTTGATCCACACATTTATCCATTGTGCATGTCTTGTGATCCAATTTTCATCCTATCTTCCTCTCATGTTAATTGCATGGAGATCGTCCAAATTGTTGGGTGGAGAAGGGACTTCTTGGAAGAGTCTAAACTATAATTTGACTTTATCTATTTGATGTCATTCAACAATTGCAAAGCAAAGGATGGCGGTATATGAAGTTCACAGTTGTACATCCCTATAAGCTTCCATGGGTATTGAAGGTTGCAAGTGTTGATATGGGGCCCATAAAAATTATAGAAAAATATAACTTTGTTAATTAAGATAATATGTAAAATAAAAGAAAACAATAAATAATTTGAAATTGTGTTATGAACATTTACTTGATTAGCTTAAATGTGGTCAAACATGATTCTGTACCCCACAACATCATTGTGAGGTTTATTTCGGAAGTTTAGGACTCTACCCCCGCTCCATTTGCATACTAAAGGGTATGTTGGTGGATTACTGGAAATTGGTGCAATATATGGCATGCAATACCATGCCTAAGACATTAAAAGTGATGCGCAACCACCCACTATTTTGCTCCCAACTTTCGTGGCCCTGCACATTTCCCTGTACACATAGCTAAATAAGCACTCCCCTAACTATATCTTATAGTTCTTCTAAAGTTAGTTAATAAAGATAAATACATAAGATAAACTTTATTGCTTGTTTTGTCAGGCATCAAAACACCTCCAATCAAACCTAATACATATGCCCTAACATGGACGTGAACTTGTTCCTTTGATGGGTTGTTTTGGTAATGGCAACATGTTGTCTCTGAGCCACTTCAGTTTCACCATAGAGCCAACAAGTGACTCTCCCTTCACTGGAACAATGCCAAGATAGGTATCACACATGTCCTCCCAATCAAAGATTGTTGGAGTAATGACAGGGAGTCCATTAATTCTTAGGTCAATTTAAAGTGCAACATCCTTTAGTGTTATGGTGCACTCCCCTATTGGAAAATGAAAGGTGTGAGTTTTAGGTCTCCACCTCTCGACCAAAGCGGTTACTAGTCCATGATCCACTTTAAGATGCCTTAGTTTTTCCACCCCAGCAAAACCAAGTTGTTCAAGAATAGGAATAATTACAGGGTTGGGTTCTAACATTGAATGATGGAATAATGAAATGATGTTCTCAGTTTCCTGCAGTTATGAACAAATTACTTAGTAACAATATAAGCAGATATTGATTCACATTTTAAATAAACAAAAATTATGTGTAAAACATATTGTTCTTCCAATGAAGGCAGACATGTGATCATTTTATTTCATCAATAACATTTTTCGTGAAAGTAAGGAAGTTTAATAAACTTTGGAAGTTTCAGAGAAATGAAGAATTTTGAAGAATGCTTGGTTGATATGAGTTGTGGTAGCAGTGGATTAACAAATTTATAGAGAAGGTTTGGTTTGAAGGAGGAGGACCATGTAACATTAGATTCCTGAGGCGTGGGCCCCACATGGAATCAATGCTCTAAAGGCATGATCGACATGTCATTATCATTGAGGTGGGACCCACACAGAATCAATGCTCTACTCTCGTAACGTGCACCTAAGGTGTGGGCCTTACAAGGAATCAATGCTCTTAAGGCGTGACCGATATGTTATTATTGTTGGAGTTATTTGGGTTTGGAGAAGCTTAGACCCAAAAAGATGACACATCGATTGCATAATCTTATTATGCACCTAGTTGTATCTTAGCCAAACCAAAGATACCACCCTTGGCCACCAAGTAGGTGTGACATGTAGGGTTCATTTGGCATGGATTTGGGTTGCATTTCCCTCACATTTAGCATGGAAAGGTGCACATTCCTAACCTTAACTATCACCCTACATACCTAGCCATGACCTCACATCTTAATCTCTATATATACCCTAGGCTATGCTCCATGTATTCACTTTAGATATTGATATAGAGTGAGCCTTTGAGGCTTTATATTTTCTTTAGTCTCCCTTGGTCATTTTCGGCCACCACCATCAACTCTCCACCTTGAGTGATAAACCCTAGGAGTGACCTATTAAGATTCATGGATGGTGAATCAAGTTCTAAGAGTTTTGATGATAACAAAAGTCCTGAGAGTCTTGAAGATGATAAAAGACATAAGCTAATAAAGATATGAAGATTATGAAAGAATACAATATGTAATAAGAGTATTTTATGTGTTCTTATATGTTGAGTTGCCTTGTTGAGTTTATTGTTTATGCATGTGTGTGCTTTGTGCATGAATCTTAATCCAAATTGTCTAAGAGTGAGTATGATGATGTTTGAAAGTAACTTGGAAAGTTTTTGAAGTGTGAAATCAAATTTTTGAAAACTAACTCAAAATAATCAATTGCTACTAACTATAATCGATTATTCTAGCAAGAGGTTGAGAGAACCTTGTTGTAATAATTCATTATCTGTGAAATAATCAATTATTCTAGAAAATACTCTCTGGAATAATCGATTATCCTGTAAAATAATCGATTATTCTGTTCTTGAGTGATTTCTAGAATTCATGAAGAATAAAATAACCGATTATCCCTAAAAATAATCGATTATTTGGGTCTGGAAAAATTTATAAATGGTTCTCACATTTTGAAACAAGAACAGAGAATAGAAGAGAGTAAACAATTGATTTTGTGAAGTCTTTGTGACCTTCTTAGAGTGTTTTCTTTGTGAAACCAAGAAGAAAAACATTTTGTAAAATGCTTTGAGAGAAATCATCATCATCACTACATTCTTGGGAAGAAGGATTAAGATTGGTTAAGAGTTCACAGTCTAATTTGTTCACCTTCTAGGCGAATTCGTTCCTTTAAACTTTTGTGTAATGTGTTAAGAAAATCTTAAGTAGGTGTCTCAAGTGGCAAGGAATTCTTGTAGTGGGTTTCTACAAGAAGTTCTTTCTTGGGTGCAAGAAAGTGTCTATCTTGAGTGTTGAAGTGTGTACATGTGTGGTATGCTTGTATAACTTCTTCATTGAGATAGTGGTACAAATCTTAATCAGGTTATGATTGAAGACTGGATGTAGATCACATGTGGAGTGGTTGAACCAGGATAAAACACTTTGCACTCTTTTCTCATCCTTATCTCTTACATTGAACAATCTTTAGTTGAATGTTAAAATGGTTGGTCTTGATTAATATGCTTGTATGATTAAAAATGGTTTAAATTGAAACATAACCACAACATATTAGTTGTTCTTAAACTAAATTCAATAAAGATTAAGCAAGAACTCATATAGGAGTCATTCCCATTTACAAGAGGTTCAAGAAACTTCATTGAAAATTTGTATTAGAAAAGTTTTAATTGAAATAAAGATCCTTAAACTCTGATAAAAAATTTAAGTGTCATTGAATCCAATTCACCCCCCTCTTGGATTGAGTCATTCTTTTCTATCATGACCTTCATCTACCTTAGAGTGAGTCAAACCCTAGAGTACCTCTCAAACTTTTCATCAAACACCCTTTCCTCCATTCTTATTTTCGACCATCTTCATCATCCAAGGCTAAAACACTTGAAAAATCATGATCCTTAGAGTCAAGGAGACCTCCC